GACATTCCCTTTTAAAATGGAAGCCAAAATTTTAGTTGTTAAAGACATTCTAACCTTACACGACAATCTTAGTTCCCGGTTAAGTAGTCTCCTCCTGGTCCAGTTTTTAGCCGCTTTCAAGCACAGACTACATTCTGTCTCTTTAGACTGACTTATCTCATTAAGTTAATATCGCAATCCATAAAAACCCAGGAGATAACTTGCCCACAATATCAGCCCCATTCTACAGAGTAGTGGCACCACACCCTAGTTAAACGGATGCATCAGCTCTTTGAACTGGCTACTGAAGTATCGCGCCAATAGCGATTTCTTTTGTTTTTAAATCATATTCCATCAGGTTATATAAAATTAAAATTTTTAAATCCACAAACTTAAAGGGGCTGTTCCAGTTCTTTCGACATTATCTGCGGACTTGTTGCAGTCAGACAAGCACTACTCTATTTTTGCTTGCTAGCTACAGAAGCATGTCTGTAGTCCACCAAAAGTAAAAGGTGGATTCAGAAAGCTACCAAGAGGCTTGATCGCTGCTTGACTATTTGTATAGATACAAATAAAAGCAATAATATAGAACTTATGTATAATATATAATTTGTATACGTATAATATTTGTGTAAGATACAAATAAATATAATATTTTAAGCATTTAGTAAGATTGTAACGAGTGCTGACCTCAATGACGTGGCACCCTGCTAATAAGACAGTTGACCACATACCCAGCGCGAGTGAGATTTTTGTGTTGGGTCGCAGTCTCCTACCCCAACTAATGCTTTATTTTGGGGACAGTAAGCTTACTACGAGTTCAGTTTTTAGTTCTAGACGAAACGAAACCGTATAAACCTAAACATCAATAAGAAGGAAAATAAACTTAAAATGTTCTTTATATAAACACATTTTCAGTGCGTCAATTAAATATTCTTTTTGGAGAATAGAATTTGCATATATCTATATAAAAAGTAAAAGTATAAAGTAATGTGTAAACCAAAATCCAATCTTAGTTGTGATATTAAGTATATATTCCTAAACATTAATCCAATACTATAATTTCCTGATTCAACTAACTTTTTTCATAGGATCTTTGCAATTATCCTTGCATGATTTGTTGATGTTATAAACTGTTTATATGATTTTGTGACTGTCACTTGAACTTCCGAGAGCAAATTGAATTTCTGCCAACAAAAAAAAATGTTTTAATAAGAAAACATTTGAGGAAGTTTGGCATTATGAAAAGGAAGAACGTGCATAAAATGAAGGAGGATTTGCTTTACGCGCCAAAAATTTTCAAATAAATATGCTTAAATTATTTAAAATTCAAACAGGAATGACAAACATTAAAACGTGCAAACAAAAACACCGACGACAGACTGCATCCCCATTACAAAACGAAAGGAATAACAAGTGTTAT